AGCCCACAGGCGATGCTGCTGGTATGTGCACCAAGAGGTTCTGTCCCGTTTTGGTCAGGAGGCTCTTCCAGTGCCCTGCCAATGGACCTACCTCACCACGGGAGCTCGAGAAGAACCCCGTGAAGAACCCCAGGCAGCCACAGGCTCTCAGGGAAACTCTCCCACAACTCCCCAGAGCTGCTCCACCACCCCTTCATCCTCTAACAAAAGGAAGAGCACAGGCAGCATGTCAATCACCAAGTTTATGAAGAGATGTAATGATCCTGAGCAGGTAGGTAAAGGTGGATTATGAGAGGGTTTTTATTTATTTATTTATTTTATTTTATTTTATTTTATTTTATTTTATTTTATTTTATTTTATTTTATTTTTAAAAGCCCTGTTTGCAGGACTGGTCTACAATGAAATATCCACTTCACATTACCACTTTTAAATATCATGTTACCAAACACGTGAAAGGATTTTCTTAAACTGACTGCAGCTTTTTACTGTTTACCAGACGGAAGCAATAGAGGCTGACGGTTTTCAAGCTGACACTGAGGATGATGATGAAGATGACTGTGTAATTATTTCTACCCAAAGTGGTAAGCTGCATAGGAAGATTATTTTTTTTGTAAAACTTTACCTTTTAACTGTAATTTTCAACTTTAAGGTTTAAACCAAGATTCAACGACATCACAAGAAAATAATAGTGAATAAATGGATGTGAAAGTGTTCATTTTAAACATGGCTACAATCAAGTGAGGCCAGCATATACGAGTAATTCCTGTGATGCAAAAGCTCAGAGTTCAGACTGCTGCAAATGCTCATTTTACTCTTAATTCTGTATAATGCCAATGAGAATGGCTCCTAACATAGTCATCTACTGTTCATACCTTTTTTGGAGTAGCAGTCAATCAGAAGAAGTTTTCCAGTAGTCTGTAGTTGGATTTTGATGGTAGTGATTGAATTTAAAAACTGTGTAGTGAACTTTTATTTCAGCTTCTGAAGTAGGGCATGTCAGAAAAGGTTTGAAAGTGAGTGAACTGAGGGGTACCACCAAGACCCAGTATAACATAAATGGGGATTGTTTTCAATTATCAAGTATGGAAACTTACTGTGGAGTCAAAGAATAAAATTATGGAGCTAGAAAATAATAGCACAATAGAGCCACTTTGAGCCAAGCATTTAACCTAAGCTGTTTATTACAGTTTCCTATATATATTATTCAGTTTTAAAGTGTATGTATACATTTTAGACACCTAAATTAAATCTTATTACATTTGTACTTTTTTTTTTTCTTTTTTTCTTCAGGCCCTACAAAACAGACATCCAGTGAGGGAGATGGTACAATGGAAACAACCCCCTCTGACACTGCTGCTCTCCCCACTGCAAGCTCTGCGTCTGCCCTCGACACTGTCTGAGTGCAGGACAGGCAGTCTTCACCCAGTCAGACTACCCCTTTTCTGCCTAGAAATTCCTGCTTGCTGGATCTGAACTCCACGGTGTGCCAGACAGAATCAAGTCTTCAAGTAAGATGAAGCACCTAAGATACGGGTAACTCGTAGCAGGTAAACTCTGCTCAGGATTGAGTTCCCTCTCAACTAATTCAGTTCAGTCAGCAGCCATCGGGCCGATAGCAGCTATCCCTAATATTGGTGACTGGTTTGAATAAGGACAGGCTTGACCAGTATTCCAGTATTCATTGATTATATCTGATATTTGTGTTTAACGTGGGCCTATAGAGGGGAAGGTGAATTTCTCCGGCACTGCTTTAGCTGCTGCTGCAGATTTGGGTTAAACAGGGAGAAAAGCAGAACACAAATGGGCTTTTTTTTTTTTTCTTCTTCCCCTCCACGAGAAGCATCCAAGACATCGAGAACATTATTTACGGTTTTTGAAATGTTCAATTCATCAAGTTGTGGATGTGATATTTTCTAATGTGTATATAGGTTACCAAAATGAGAAGCTTAAAGTCCATCTGTACATTTTCTTCTGATTTCCATGGGGTCATTTATTCTGCAACTTCTAAACCTGACAAACTCACTGGAGTAGTTGCTAGATCTGTACTTGTACAGTTAGGTTCAGTGCCACAGTGTTTTATAAATATGTATTTTCTTTATTTTTCAAGAATACTTGAACAGGATAAATCCATTAAACATGAATAAAAGTACTGCACTTTTATATACAGTTTATTTCTTGTCTCTTTGGGATGTTTTGTTATTCTATTAGTAGAGTTCTGTAAAAAAAAAAACTGGCAGCTGAGTTGTTACATGGAACTAAATTCAGAAAATATTTGTCCCACAATGGGCAATTAAGTTTGACAGTTGATAAGTAATATATTAATGATGCACATGTGTTACCTAAATCTTCTGTTACACAACATCAGTAAACTGTCATGTTTAAGAAACCAATGCCAGGTGATTTAGGCTCACGTGGCTTTATCCTGCTGGAAACAGTCATCACTGTTATACACTGTTGTCACAAAGGAATAAACATAGTCAGGAGTAATATTGATGTTTACGCCAAATTCTGACTCTACCCTCTGAATGTTGCACCAGAAATTCACTCATCAGACCAGGCAACAGTTTTTTCCAATCTTCTGATCATTTTGGTGTGCGAACTGTAGCATCAGTTCTGTTGTTAGCTGACTTGAGTTATACCCAGAGAGCCATCTGCTTCAAGGTTAGACGTGTATTCAGAAATGCTCTTGCGCATATCTTGGTTGTAACGAGTCGCTATTTGAACAATCAGGCCATTCTCTGACATCACATCAACACATTTGCTGCGCACTGGATATTTTCTTTTTCAGATCATTCTTGGTACACGGTACAGATGTTTGTGCTGAAAAATCACGTAAAGCAGCTGTTTCTAAACTACTTAGAGCAACATCTGAATACTGATACTGCAGTTCACCTTAGCCAATTTGAATGTATATGATAAGGGATAGAACACCAATCAGACTAAGCCACACAGACAGCACTTGGTGACAGTGGGAGGGAAAAACTCAGTTTTAACTGGAAGAGACCCCAAAAGCAGGCTCAGGGAGAGGAAACCATCTACCTGGTTACAGCTGGCTAGGGGGGCTGAGGAGTATTAGCAGCTCTAATTTGGTTTAAAGATGGTAACCTGTTTTTGACTTATTTTGCTGTTATTTAGTTAAAAAAACAAAACTGGGGCACTAACATGGTTTACCAGTTGAGAGGAGGGAAACTCCCACCAACACATCCATTAAAAGATGATGTAGTCTGGTTAAAGACACTTTGTATTTCATCCAATTAACCCTTTAAAGCCAGAACCATAAAATAATTGCCAGAAAATTATAATTTTATGAAAATGGAGTGATTATTGAACTGTCTGCATATATGAATTTTAAGTTGTATCATATTTGTTACAACCGGTTCTTTTCTTTTTGCAATTTATTTTTTTCATAGGGAAAATAATCTGCAATAACGCATTAAATATGATACACTTGACTTTAAAGGGTCCAAATCTGAGAGCAGTAAATGGCTGGCTGCTAAACTAATTTCACATTTAAGGTATCAGCACATCAAGATGTTGCACATATTATGAAGGCTTTGCAAATAAATACATGTCCAACACAAGAATAGAAAGCATTTCTTATTCCAAAGACAACTTTTATTTATTTATTTTAAACAGACTTCTGTTTGTTAAAAGTTAAGAGGCTTTGCAAGCGATCGTTATTACAGGCAGCTTAAAAAGCAACAGAACACCACTCGGAAGGAAACATCTGGACAGATCACAACTGCTCACTTAATTATTTCATACTGTTATGGTGCTAATGAAAGATCTACATCCCTTTTATGCAATACCTGTGGACAAGCGTTAGACTGCAGAAATGTTTCTTTTGGCTGATTCAACCTGGGCTGTGAATGAAATAGTGGACATCAGTTTGTTTCCCCATCACCCAGTTCTAATTTGTGTGTTCAGTGTGCAACTGACCATTATTAGCAACATAAGAGGGGAAAAGACAGTAACCCCTAACCTTAGACTGATGTTACACAATTGTGTACATTTCCCTTGTGATGCATGGAAATGGTAAGAGGTAGGCTGTTGTCATTTAACCAACCACTACAAGGAGAAAGTAATTAGGTTTTAAAGTTCTACTTGGTAAATGCTCATGTACAGCAAAACCACAAACAAAATAAACGTATGCAGCTTGAATAAACTTTGAAACTTCAGTCTCTTTTGCAACTTGAGTTGTCACTGGATTCAGTTCGGACAGTTGGTGTTTTGAGGCGTTTTCATGTACTCGGACCCTTTTTATGTGGAGAAAAATAAGTGTTTGATGCAAACAAATACAAAAAATAATTAACCACCATTTTCAATACAACAGAAATCCATGCTGCCAGAAATTTGGCTATCTCCATGCCAGGGTGGAGTTGGTTACACAAAGCTTCAACATAAAATTCAAACATTAATCATTTAAGTGTGAACAATGTAATAGTAGAGGTGTTTAGGCCCCTCCCTACTCCCCAAAATATCCTTCATTGTTACAAACTTACAAAATAGTTGATTCCAGTACTAGAATTGCCTTCACATTGTCACCACATGGCTGACACAATTATAAAACTATATATATGGGCCTCATCTTTTAATTATTTTTAAGTTACCCCTCTGTTTTATCTCAACATAAATTTCAAAATTATCCAAAATAAAATTTTGGATTTATGAATTCTGATTTAGGCTCATGCTCATACTGAAGCAACAACAAAAGACAGTCTGTGTTGTAACACCAAGGAGTCCAAGGCCGCTCCGGAGCAGAGGACAAAAGGGCAACAGAAGCTTATGTATGTTTTCAGCAATAAAGCCAGACTCATATCACATCAAATCAGTTAACAGACTACACTGAGCTAATCTCGAACACCGCCAAACAAAGCACAGAGCATTTCAAGTCTGAAGTAAAGCCAGTGCATTGACACCCAGCAGCCTTACAAAAAAAAAAAAAAATCACAGGAGCCGCTGAAGGAGCTGAGATACTTAACGTGATTCAACAACTGTATCTTGAACGGTCTTTGCCATTTATTTTTTTCTAAAGGGGAGGGAGTGGTGACACAGTTAAAACAGGGTCTCAACATGCTTTGAAAACTCTACCTGACTGACTTGGGTTGAACAGGAAAGACTGCAGCTGCAGAGTCTGTTTACTACACAGCATGTACAATCAGGATGCAAAACCCCCCAAAACAAGCATGTGCTCTTGCTTTCTCCTTCCATCTGTCAGCAGTGCTTCCTTCAACATGTCCTGCTGAAGCAGGCTGTGTTGTGACCTCATCCCCATGGGGAAATTATGCTCAGCCCAACAAATATATTAGGGTAACATTGCCCCTAATCTATCACTGCTACCGACTTAGGTTAGAGTTTGCAAAAATAAATGTGTCACTAGTAAAGGGCCGAATTCACCCCAGTAGTGTGAGAGGAAAGAGGAAGGTAGAGGGGAGGGTTCGGGGGAGAGTACTCGTGCTCAGCTCAGGCTCCGAATGTTTTCCAGCAGTTCCGGTTTGAGGAGAGTGGGGCTCTTTCCACCTGCAGCTGCAATATCAGCCTGTACAGCTGCATCCCAGGCAAACGTGAGCAGCGCAGCAGGGACCTAAAATATAAGGGAAGTCAGTACAATACAGATTATTTTTCGTTTAAAAGGGAGAAAATTAGTAGTTGAAATGTAAATGTGACACTTTACCTCAACATCAATATTACCCGACTAAAAACGACCTCAAACATTCACTCTCTGTTCTAAACATTTGCCACAAACTAAAACCTGAATTAAAACCCCTGCTCTGTGCTGCGGGTTTTAACATTGAAGTTTGTTATCATTCTCCCAGTTTCCACATTCTTCAGAAAGAAATACTAAATACAGTGTTACATGTTAGGGCAACAATGGGACTGACAAAAAAATTAATCCACAGGCCAGTTTGCAAAGTAGATTCTGATTTCAACCCACCAAGTTGCACTCTGCGAGAGCAATGTCTTCAGATTCTTGTAGTTTTTGACCTCCAGGAGCAATCAGTTCAAAGGGCTGCCAACCGTCCACCAGAGACTCCCGCATGAATGAAAATAGCACAGGCATCCGGTCCCAGGCATAAAATGTTCCTGAGAGGGTCACAAATCATGAGCAGTTGTGTCGACAATGCCCAGAAAACTACAATGTGTAGGATTTTTCAGAGTAAAATGCTTTTGGTTTACTCAATTTGATTTAATCTTGAAGTACATTTTAAATTGTGGCTTCACCTTGTAGCAGGTTTCCATCAGGTAGTCTCACCCTGAGCAGGGTGTAGTTGTATTTCCTCCTCTCCCTTTGTTCCTCTTTCTCCCTCATGGCTTTAGTGCGCAGCATGGCACTCTTCTCTACTAACTCACTCCTGTGAAACACACAAGGGACTCATTCGCTGATAGACAAACACTAGTAAACCAGGGAAACTTTTCTGGCTAGAGGCACATGACACACCCAGAGGCTATAAAAAGAACATCAGCATTAAATAATCCATTATTCTTGGGTGTGCTGTTAATAGTGGAAACCTAGAGTCAAATACTGCCATACAACCCAGGACAACTAAGAGTTAAAAAAGTCCGATCCAAAGAGGACCCACCTCAGAATTTACAAGACCTAAAGGATCTGTTGCTTTACATCATGTTGCAAAGTTATGAGAACTAATGATCCATCGAGGGGTCACTGTCTACTGCACACATCCAGGAGACTGTCACTGTCTCCTCTGAATCTTCTTTACTTGGTTACTCAAACTTGGAAACCATGTGGAACAAATATAACCAAAACCTAGTTTGATCACCAGCATATTTAGGGGCAAACTGTTACTTGTGGTTCTTTTACAGCAGTCTTGTAGGATAAATTCAAACAGAGATGAAGTTTCTCTAACTACACTGTCACAGACAAATTGCAAATCCTATGAGCCAAATATTGATCTTTACTCCATTTCACTGGAACTGCTACCACAGCGAGTGAAATCAAGTAACTGATCTGACTGCACAGACAATTCATTAAAGAAAAGAGAGACAACATTTCTCTACCACCTAACTAGAATTTATAGCTGACTTGAATTAGATCCATTTTTTTGGTTTGAAAGTGAGTCTATACCTCTGCTGTTGCTCCCTTTTGAGCTCCTCCGCCGTCAGGTTGTAGAACTCTGGCGGCAGCTCAAAGCGTTGAGCGTTAGGAGACTGCCTGAAAGCTTGAGGCTGCCTGTCCAGCTGCGCTCTGACCGGCTCGCCTCTCTGAAGACGATCCCTCCTCTCCTTCATCAGCTCCAGCGCATCGGGGCTCTGCTCTGGCAAAACCAGGAACTCCTCTTCCTCCTCTGATCTCCGTGAAAGGTGGGCACGCGTTAAAACGATGTAAAGACTGAATGATGCATAAATGAAAATCACTGGCAGGTGAGCAGACACATACTGCTCATAAATATCACTATTCATTTACCTTGGCCCTCTATGGGAAGCATCACACTTGTAAAGCCCAGAGCCTGCAGGAACTCCCTGCTGCCCTCCACAGACTTTACTTTCTCCTGAAATAACACAAGGAATCTTATAAGACATGCAAAATTATCTTGTTTTCTTATAGAAATCCCATAAAGTTTGCTACAAATAGTTAGGCTTGATCCAGTAGGTGAGGAACGTTACACACCTGGAACACTTTGTTGCTGAGTTTAATTTTCCTGTATTTCTCTTCTGTGGGGTTCTTGCATATATTTTCAACATATCTGGAAACAAAACAATGACAACAAAAAAACTTTGATGTCTAGAACAGATCAAAATCTGTGACAACAGCATAAAACATTTACATATGTAATTAACATCACCATCAGCGTCTTACTTGCTTATGATGTCCACAGCAGCCTTCACTTTCTCTCTGTCTTTGTTAAATGTGTGCATCATCATAACAGACGCCTCGACTGCATCTTCCTCAAACCGCTGCAGGCAAAAATTGCATGTTTATCAAAAGCACCGATTAGATAAGCATTCAGTCTGACTGCACACACGTTATAACTGAACCAACATCCTCAGACATACCATTAAAATGGCCCCTTTAATGTGTACTTCCCTCTCGCTCTTGGTTAATGTGGCTCCAGTTAGTGGACAGATGAAATAGACGCCCGATACCGAGAGAAGGGTGGGATCTTTCACTGGCACTTTGGAGCCCTGGGAGGAAAATGTCAATCAGTGTTGTTAGATTCAGTGATGAAATTTTCATCCACACTAACAGGCCACCGCTATTACTCTGAATTTAATACAGCTCACATAACTAGGCGGCTCCTTTTCTGATATTCTGAATTAGGCCTCACAACCACTGACGTATTTTCCAGTAAGGACATGTATAATTCAGGTTTCAACAAGCATATAGGGTTTTTTTTTCATATAAAAAAAGAAAGTTCTGGCTTTTCAACTAAAGAAAACCACCAGGATTGTGATAAAAGAATTTTAGTACTGAACAGATTTAAGGTAAATAAGGGAAGATTAAAACAAAAGCCCACTGTCTGGCTGGAGAAGGACACCTACTTTTATGAAACTGACATTGAGATGAACAGCTGTCTGCACCTATGCTGCCCTTTTCAACACTGGACACTGTATGATAGGCTGTGTATAAACAGGAATATTTACTTTAATCAGTCATGAAAACAGCTTATCAGGAGTACTGTCTTCTTCAAAGTGAAAGAAAAAAATGAAATATTTTAAAAAGTTAACCACAGTCGATGTGAACCAAAATTAGCATGAAAATTGTGTCACAATTCTGGTTTATGCAACACTTACCTCTGCTGCAGCTGCCTTTTCTTTTTCAGCAAGTGCAGCTGCCTCGGCCTCAAGTTCTCTTTTTACTGCAAGCACGTGTAGAAAACAACTGTTATAACCAGAATATTTTATAACAGTTAATAAATAATTTTTTTAACCAAAACTATTACCTCAAAATAAAAATCTTTGCCGTTTGCTTTATCAGTTTAAAACAGTACCTAATCATATCTACTTCCCACTGACAGGATCAGCATCTTAATATAAACATAAAGATTATATACTTGATGCAAATCTTCCCATGAATACAAAAACAATGATTTTTTTAAAATAAATACTTCTTTGGTTCAGGGACGAGTTGCTACCTCAAGTGGAGGAATTGAAATATCTGAGGGGGGAGAAAGGTCTGGGCTTCTCTGCTTAGGCTGCAGCCCTCACTAACCGGCCTCAGTTATACAGCAGAAAATGAATGGGTGGGTGACTTCTATGATTATGTGGTTTTTCAGAGGTAATAAATGTTTTTGGTGGCTGTTTCTTTCATACACTGGATATATTACAGTAGCAGACAACAAATTTAGAAGATATGGTTTTTTTTAAACACATCAACTATAACAATCCGTAGAGTGCTTCACAGTCCAAAACATGTTTTAATACCCACAACTGAATTATCCTAATACCCACAACTGAAACGAGGAGGCTGACGTTCATCTGTGTTTGATAGACACCACCTGGTGTAATAACAGGGCTGCATGTCTCACCCTGGGTCCTGATGGCGTCCTGGGAGGTGTGAACCTTCGGCTTCTGATGCTGTTCAATCCTGGCCAAGGCTGCAGCTCCAGCCCTCTGGGCTCCTTCACTGGGGGCATGGCGATCGTGCTTGACACTGGATCTGCCCTGCACCACCTCAGGCTTGGCACTGTAGGGTTATTAGGAGAGAAACAGCACTATAAGAGGAGACGTGTTGTGGCTTCACAGTAGGAAGAAGAAAAGACAGTGCTAAGCTAAGTAGCAACGACAACAGTACAAACACGTCAGAATCACAACAGCTCTGCTTCCTGTTGAGAAGCAGGTTTGCTTAGTTCTTTAACTAAACAAGCTTGTGCAGGGATTAACTGTTAGTCAGGTCACCCTGAAATTATACAGTCGTCCCCCGCCGTGCTCAAGAATATATAACAGTTAGCCGTTTGACAAACACCCGTGAGAAAAACACACACAAATTAGCACTGTTCTGGTTAGCTTCAATACATGGGGAGACGGAAAAGCGGTAGTCATTACTGATCAGCTGTCAGCTATGAGATAAGCCCGTTTAGCCAATGTTAAATAGCTATCTGTGCGGCTAGCTCTGCTTAGCGCTGTAGCAGCTGAGAAAAGAAAAGTTTGTTATTTGCCTGGTGTCTTCCGTTAGTTTCTTCCCGGGTCCCGCGGATTTAAATTTGATGTCTTTCTTAAAGTCATCGAAAAACTTCTTCATTTTCTGTAGCTGCACAAAAATCTGACTACCAGGAAAAAAGAAACAGATGGGCAGCACCCAGCCTGGTTTTAGCGAGGAAGAGGAGGACCACAACAAAATTGTTTCAAATGAGAACAAACTGCTTCCGCCTCATCACGAGAGACGGTCGCCCCCTCGTGGTTGAACTCAGAACTGAAAGTCCAACCAGATCAGTTGTTCGTGTTTTATAAGACAACTTTATTTTTTATTATTTGACCTTTTTGTTTGTTTGTTTGTTTGATTACATGTACTTACATGTTTGCTGAAATTACCAGAGTATTGACTGGCTCACACACACACACACACACACACACACACACACAAACATATTATGCTATCACATTCTGGAAACACATCACATTAAGTTACTAAAAGCTAATTTTAGCTGTTCCCTAATTCACAAAGTGGTTGGCCCAATGCAATGCAAAAAATGTTTTGTGTCTCTTCCTGAGCTCGAACAAGTGATCTTTTACTTATTAGGTAAAACTGTAAACCAGTTACTACTATGGCAAACATAATGAGCTGTATCAATGTTAGATTAATATCAGTGTGAACAGTAATGAAAGAACAAAAAGAAAAACAAATTAAAAGAGATTAGTAAACGAGTTTAAAACACACAAATGAAAAACAATAATTTGTGTTTTTATTCTTTTTAGTTTAAGTGGAGATATGTACATTAGCTGGTTCATTGAAGCTGACTGCTCTGTCTCTACCTGTCTAATGATTTACCTTTGATTACATTCATAAAGCTGCTTTAGACTATCAAAGACTGTTAAGAACAAGTACAAATACGAAAAAGTGATGACAAATAGTATAAGATAAAGCTTGCATGATTCGGCATGTCGGCAAATACAGATATATCAGAAAAAGAAGTGCATTTTCATCTCTTTATTAAAGTAATCAAAGAAACTGTCAAAATATCTCTTTGGGCTCAGTAGGCGAAGCCATAAAATTTATATAAATAGAATTTCCAAAAATACAGTTAGTCGTTCATTTTTCCTTCACATTTTCCAAAGCTGTCCAGAGGTGATAAGAGTCTTTGATGGTGTGGTGCAAAAAAAAAAACCCAACCTATTAGCTGTTCATGACTTGTTGCAATACAATCTGACAAGAAAATTTCAGACATGTTTCTCAAACATGATTTCAAGACAAAATAAAAGCTGTGATCAGTTTTTGGCAAGGGGACTTGTATATATATCCTTCATTTATCCTGGTAAAAAGGGAAATTGACGTCAAAAGTGTATTTTTAAGAAAGATGTGCCCAAGGGGGCAGCACAAATGGCAGAAAATGGTTATCTCAAGATATTTTAAGTGGGCAGAACAGACTGCTGTGATTATCAAATAGGTAGAATCAAGAAAGATTCTTGCAAAACAGGCTATGTCTTTACTTTATATATAACCTTCTCAGAAATCCTATTGACTGCAGTCTATTTAACCATATAAGCAAATATATTACACAGATAGAAAACAGTTTTTGGCACAAAATCAGACACACACACTCCTAGCATAGAGTGATTAAATTTACAGGTGGCACTTGAACGCACCACTGACTTGACTACACACGCACACCTCCTGCCACGTCAAATGTGACGTAGCAGGAGGTGTATTCCGGGAGGGAGACGAATAGTGACCAGTGCGAGCGAATAGTCATCGATTGGCATTAATGATCTTACACCGGAGAGGAGTCTTTGTGAGAGGTAAGAGTTAAATATTTGATTTACTTCTATCTGCTGTGTGTGCAGCAACCTGAGCGGTTTCCCGCTCCTCAGTCGGGCGGATATTTGCTAACATGTGCCCGGCTGTAGCTTGACTGATGCGCAGACCGCGGCTAACTATCTTATACAGTGACTGAAAATGAGGTTCACTAACTCTATGCGCTTCTTAGCAACAGTCCGTGTTATTACATTGTGCTAACACTGGATTTATCTGTGCTCCGAGTCAACACAGCAGTCCCTGCTACCTCTTTACAGGCTCACCGTCACAGTCATGTTGGAGATGTGAAGTTTAAAAGTTTTATAAACACTTTAACTAAAAGTGATATATGAGTATTGTGTATTACAGCTGTAGATAATTCAGGTTGTGTGGCTGTGGTGTTAGTCGTCAGCATCCCATTGAAAAGCTCACTTACAGAGGAGATTTCTTTGGTGTAAACCCTCTTAGAAAACATCATAATATCGCGTTGTTACACAGCTATTATTGTACTGTTGTAATTATCAATCATAATAAGCAAACATAATGGGTATGAAAGAGTCAGTATTCACACTGTGGTATAAAAGAAACTATCCTCGACCTTATCCTATAGTGTTGTGACGACTTCCTGGTAAAAGTGGGTGTGGATTTAAACAAATAGGATAAACATTCCAGCAGTGCTTGTTTTACCTACACTACAACTAGCACAGGGCTATTAAATACTCTTATCATGTTTCCACCTTCCATCAGAAGATCTTCAGTCACTTTAAGGACATTGGCTATGTCATCAATTATTTTTTTACTCCTAAAATTTGTTTTTATATACACATACAGTTTCTTGGGTGCTCAAAATGAGCTTTTAGTGGTGACTGTACTAAGAAATATGATTGGTCCACATGAAACTATAGGAAAGAGTCTATGTTACCTTATATAACAGATTTTTTTCTGTAATTTTTTTTACCCATTTTACTTAAAAAAATTATTTAAAGGTGAGTAAATTAAACCACACTGTTAAAAAAAAGCTACAAGTATTTTTTAAAAGGTCCTTGCAGAAGGCCATATCTATATGTGGGAAAAACCCTGCAAATGTTTGGATATTGTAGTGTGACCTTTATCTTATCATCTATTTTTTTTTATATTTACATAAAGGCCACCGGCTTATACAAAAACAACACAAGACCTGGGGCATGTTTTGCAGTTCTTTTTAAATAAAATAATCTTTTTTCCCACAGTTAATTAAAAGCACAGGTGATCATGGACCCAAACATCAGCACACTCAGGCAGAAACTGGCTGACGCCGGCCAGTCTCACCTCCTGCAGTTCTGGAATGAGCTGAGCCCTGAAGAGCAGGCCGAGTTGACCCAAGAACTGGAGGGTATGGACTTTCAGGAGATCAACGGATTCTTCAAGAATGCCATGCAGACATCTAACAGCAGCAAACAAGGGAAGATGGACTGCCGCATGGAGCCCGTGCCCAGGGAGGTGCTGGGAAGTGTGACGAGAGACAGGGAGAGCGTCAAAGACTGGGAGCTGACAGGTGAAGTATATTCTCACCTATTTACTGCTTTTGACCTTTAAACTGTACTTACTCGGTATGCTGAGTGTTTTAAGGAAACATAAAGCATTAGAATTGGGAGTATTTTATTTTAATGAGAATATGTAAGCTATTATCACTTGTTAAACAAGATTCGCCTAGTTACTGCAAGCACGTTTAACACAATGAAATCTTGACAGTGATGACCTGCAGGTAAGAGAGGAAAGCTTAACCGGTATCAGACTGGGAAGCTTAAGTGGATTAAAACATCACATGGGTAACCCAGCTGGATGAATAGTTGTTCTCATGGCAATATTTTTAAGTATCCACATCCAGATGTTAGCTCACAGAAAAACAGCCCATTAGATCAAAACTTTTGCAAAAGCTTATTACAAAGTTCCAGTCATGCTGCGTCAGAAGCTCCATGTTTATCCATTGTGCGTTTCTGTGCAAGGGTTGACATTTGAGTAAGTTGCTGGAATTATTCATTATGTTTTGCGCAATCCCTCATGCTTCATTCTTCCCGGGGCTGTATGACTATCTCGGTGGGCAGCAGAAACATCTGGTGTTGATTTGTGCTTGACGTAACTGGAGTTCCCTCTTGACCCTCAATCATGAGCTCATTGTGATCTGTTGGGACAAAATCTGTGTTGCTGGGTGTGGGGCATGTGTCAAAGTTTATGGATTAACCCACTACATAAAACTTGCTTCCTGGCACCAACCAGTAGGAAGAGAGTTTCGTATCGTGTCACGTTGCTGCAGTTTATGTAAGACAAACTGGAACCATTATAAACTATTGGTACATTGAACCATAGTAAAATCTTGAGTGGGGTTGTAAGATTTTAGCTCGTATAATGTGTCACGTCCACAAGTACTCCAGAACCAGTCATAAAATGTTGCTAAACTGTTTGGATTAATGTTATCAGAACTGTTTTGTTAAGTTTATTATTATTCATCTACTAACCAGGCAATAAGAGGTCTGCAGAGATTAGATACTGTGCATTGTGTGCTATCATATCAGTGTACAACACTAAATGCATGGCCCTGTTTTAAATAAACTACAGGACACATTTCTGCTACTATTTATGACCGTTGTGCTGTGTTGCCCTTTAGGTCTTCAGTGCATCTCTAAGAATAAAGTGGCAGTCTTACTGCTGGCAGGAGGCCAAGGAACCAGGCTGGGGGTCTCGTACCCCAAAGGCATGTACGACATTGGGCTGCCGTCCCACAAAACCCTCTTTCAGATCCAGGCTGAGCGCATCTTGAAGCTGCAACAGCTGGTTGAGCAGTCGCACAAAACCAAGTGCTGTATCCCCTGGTGAGACACGAGGTTTCCATGACTAAGGCATTTTAGTCGACTAAATCTACAGCTTGATTTGAGGAAAAATAAACAAGCTCGAGCAACCAAATAGTGCTATCCTATTTGTAAAGTGAACTTCAGCTGTTTGTCCCAATTATGTTAGCATGATGATTAACTGGGTCAAGTCACTGTGTGAATCAAAGGAAACTCAGTCAAGGAAGCTGTGTTGCTGGAAAAGCTTTAAGTCCCTGCAGGGGAGATCCAGCAGTTTATAGTTTAAAAATATGAATGATCGAGATAAAAAAGCAGGAAATAGAGTTGTGCGTGTCAGATTTAACGTAGTTGAAGGATATGTTAGAAACATCTTCATCAAGTTGTTACTTTTTATTGTCTGCTATAAACTTAAGTATTATACTGTTGGTTCAAGCTAACATCACCTTTGCTGTTAAGTTTTTGTAAGAGATGATGGAGATGTTTTCTGCAGCACTGCACAATTGTTAAATTGTTTAAAATGCATAAGTGCTGCGTTCTTTCCGTGTTGCCTTCAGGTACATCATGACGAGCGGCAGGACAATGAAATCCACAAAGGAT